ATGATGGAAGATATATGGAAAATATGTAACTTTTTATAGTTAGAAGAACATTAGAGACTCTAATACAGTCTTTTTTAATTTAAGAAACGAAGGCTTAAAAGACCAAGAAACTTGCCCATGGTCACTAGACTGTTGAAGGAGAATTAGATCTTAGCACTCACTCTTTTGACACATTGTATCCCCTCTCAAGATGAACTGTTACAAGAGGCTGTGATACTTTCTTGAAAGATTTTAAGCTTCTGTTAAATACCCAATATCTGAGTGAAGGGGGAGATTCAAGTGGTCCTAGATGACCAATTTTCCCAGGGATGACCACAGCACTCCACAGTTTAATCCTTCCTTCTCTCCTGTGGGTTTTTTGTTTGTTTTTGTTTATGTTTTTTTCTTTTGAGACGGGATCTTGCTCCAGGCTGGAGTGCAGTGGTGCAGTCTTTGCTCACTGCACCCTCCGCCTCCCAGGTTCAAGCGATTGTCGTGCCTCAGCCTCCCAAGAAGCTGGACTACAGGCACCTGCCATCACGCCTGCTAGTTTTCATATTTTTAATACAGACAGGGTTTTGCCATGTTGGCCAGGCTAGTCTCGAATTCCTGAGTGCAGGTGATCCACCCACGTAGGCCTCCCAAAGTATTGGGATTACAGGTGTGAGCCACTGCATCTGGCCTTTTTCTTATCATCAGGTTACCTACTACTCTCACTTGTATTGTCCAGTTCTCTTATCACAAAAGAGTTTGGCAAACCCATACTAGGAAACATTTTTGAAGGCTCATGCCTGTAATCCCAGCACTTTGGGAGGCCAAGGCAAATGGATCATCTGAGGTCAGGAGTTCGAGATCAACCTGGACAACATGGCGAAACCCAGTCTCTACTAAAGATATAAAAATTAGCCCGGTGTAGTGGTAGGCACTTGTAATCCCAGCTACTTGGGAAGCTGAGGCAGGAGAATTGCTTGAGCCCTGGAGGTGGAGGCTGCAGTGAGCAAAGATCGTGCCACTGCACTCCAGCCGGGGTGACACAGTGAGACCATGTCTCAAACAAAAACAAAAACAAACCCAACTTATAGTATCTTTCTAAAGAGCGTTGGTAGGAAATATAAATGCCTAAACCAAAGGAGTGAGGCACTGGTGAGAGAATTTTAGGCATTGATGGGTGTGAACTCTTTTTTGGGGGTGGTGGTTGTTTTGGGGAGTATCTACTATCTCAACATTAGACAGTTACTGGTTTTACATACAGTTAAGATGTGCCACTCTATAGCTCCTTTATATGGTCTGACAACATTACTACACAGCTAGTCCCAGTGAGGGAGCTACTTACAGACTTGTAGGTTGGTTTTACTTTAAGCAAACTTTGTACATAAAAACATTTATCTTGTTTTTGTTTGTTTCGTTGTGTTTTGTTTTCTGAGACAGAGTCTCGTTCTGTCGCCCAGACTGGAGTACAGTGGTGCAATCTTGGCACACTGCAACCTCAACCTCCTGGGTTTAAGCGATTCTCCTGCCCTCAGCCTCCTGATAGGGGGCAGCACCATGCCAGGCTAATTTTTTTTGTATTATTAGTGGAGACGAGGTGTCACCATATTGGTCAGGCTGGTCTCAAACTCAAATGATCCACTCTGCCTCTGCCTCCCAAAGTGCTAGGATTGCAGGCGTGAGCCATCACACCCAGCCAAAAACCTTTCCCTATTAGGATTTAGCATTGATTCTTTTAAAATGATTTGTCACATCATCCCTTTAAACAGCCCATCCCTTTGGTGCACTTCATTTTTTGTGCATTAAAAATTAAGACTGTTGACTTCCTGCTGAGTGACTCCTAAAATTGTTATTTGATAGAGTCTTCTAGAAAACATAGCTTGTTTGAACTTTGTTTTGTTTCAGTCCATTAGAGAGTGATTTGGCGAGAGAAAGGTGGGGCTCTCTGTAGGATAATGGGGTATTGCTTTAGTTTATTCCCCTTGGGACTGCTTTAGTGACCTTACATTCTAGATATTTATCTGGCAAATGTGAGTGAGTCTTGGAGTCTTGACCAAAGTTTCATCATCATCGCTTATTGGCAATTAATAAGGATCTGGACCTACCAAAAAAATCCACAGCATCTACTAATTCTATTTTCTTAACCTGTGTTCTACCCTCCTCTGCACCTCCCCTTCCATTTGAGAGCCTCTGCTCTTAACTTCTTTGCTATACTGCCTCCCTTTTAATGTCCCTCAGCTAGAGTTCAGTATAAAAAGGAAGGGATAGGAAAAAGAAGAAAGGGTGCCCACAAATGACAGATTTATATGTAAATGTGGTGTACAGTGTTATCAGGATTTTGTTTGTTTTGAGATGGAGTTCCACTCTTGTTGCCCAGCCTGGAGTGCAATGGCACTATCTTGGCTCACTGCAACCTCCACCTCCCAGGTTCAAGCCATTCTTCTGCTGTAGCCTCTTGAGTAGCTGGGATTACAGGCACACACCACCACACCTGGCTAATTTTTTTTTTTTTTTTTTTTTGATATTTAGTTGAGACGTGGTTTCATCATGTTGGCCGGAATGGTCTCAAACTCCTGACCTCAGGTGGTCTGCCTGCCTTGGCCTCCCAAAGTGCTGGGATTACAGGTGTGAGCCACCATGTCTGGCCGTTATTAGGATTTTTATATTAAGTGTAAAGGTTCTGGATCTCAGCTGCTGTTTGTGCCTAGCAACGGAATAAACAGAAATACCATTAATTTCTCAGGATCCTTTCATTTTCAGGGTTCTTTTGCCCTCTGTGGCATGTAATAGCAATACAGAATAACAGTAGCTAAAGGAAAAGACTTTTCTGTATTTCCCAATCCGTGATGCTTTTTTCTTTTCTTTTTTTTTTTATGTGTTAGTAAGTTTCAATCCTCAAATAGTTATAATTTCTATTTATTATAGAAAATAAGCCTTAGCGTCCTAAAGTGCAGGGATTATGGTTGTGAGCCACTGCACCTGACTCTCTTTCTTTCTTCTCTCCTTTTTGGCTATCTTCTTCGATTAAGATTAAATTCTTATTTTTCTTCTGGTTTCTCTTGCATGTTCTTAGCCAAGCACCATTACCCTATTGTTGAACCTGTTTACTATTTAGCCAAATATACAACTAAGATTAGTGTGTAAGCATGGAGAGGGGGAGATATAGCAGGGAATGTGTTGGTTACAATGTGATAAATTGTAGAAAGTGTTTTACTTTCATTTACCTCCTAACCAAGAGGTAACAGAAAGAAAAAAGGGCCACGCTGATATGATGGAAAGGCAGTGGATTAGATGTGTTCTCATTTCTACCCTGGCACACATTGGCAGTGTGAAGTTGGAGTAATACTTTCCTGGTTCTCGGTTTTGCCATCAGTAAAATATCTTGTGTTATCTACTTCAGTGAATGGCATAACTCTGTCCGCTCACCTGAGGCAGAATCCTTGGAGTATTAACTCGATTTTATCCCTTACTTCCCATATCAACTGAAATTTCTCAATTACACCTTTTCAAGAACTCCTATCTTTTCTTCCTTTCCTTTTTAACTGCTGCTGACCTAGTCCACATACTTATCCTTACCTGGAATACCATAGCAGCCACCTGTTTAAATATCGAATCTCTCCAGTCCATTTCTCCACTAGTGATTTTTTGTTTGTTTACGTTGGATAGCTACCAGGGTTTTCTTTCTTTTATTATTATGGTAAAATACATATAACATAAAATTTACCATTTTAACTATCTTAAAAGGTACAATTCAATGGTATTTACTATACTCAATATTGTGCCACTATTTTCAAAAACATTTTTATCACTCCAAATGGAAAACCTGTACTATTCCCAATTCTCTCCTCCCTCTTCATTAGTGTTTTATTTTATTTCTTTTGTGGGTACATGTATGTATATTTGAGACAGAGTCTTGCACTGTCACCCAGGCTGGAGTGCACTAGTGGGCTCATGGCTCACTACAGCCTCAGCCTTCAGGGCTCAAGTGTTCCTCCCACCTCAGCCTCCCTGGTGGCTGGGACCACAGGCATATGTCATCATGCTCGGCTAATTTTTGTATTTTTAGTAGAGATGAGGTTTTGCCATGTTGGCAAGGCCAGTCTCCAACTCCTGATCTCAGGTGATCTACCTCCCTTAGTCCCAAAGTGTTGGGGTTACAGATGTGAGCCATCATACGCAACCAGTTTTATTTTTCATACTACACCAGTTAAATATCCCCCCCTTTCCTGCCGCCGCTGAGACAGAGTCTTGCTTTGTCACCCAGGCTGGTGTTGTAGTAGCATGATCACAGCTCACTGCAGCCTCAACCTCCCAGGCTCAAGCAATCTTCCCACCCCAGCCTCCCAAGTATCTAGAACTACAGGCACACGTCACCACGCCTGGCTAGCTTTTGAATTTTTTGTAGGGATAGGGTTTCACTATGTTGCCCAGGCTGGTCTTGAACTCCTGGACTCAAGTAATCTGCCTGCCTTGGCCTCCCAAAGTGCTGAGATTACAGGTGTGAGCCACCATGGCCAGCCAGTTTTATTTTTCATACTATTATAGTTAATGGCCTCCATTCGCTTTATTTTCCCTTTTTTTGAGACAGAATCTCACTGTCACCCCTTTTACTCTAAGCAAACTTTATATCTTTTTAAAAAAAAGATTAAAAACTTTTATTTTTTTATTTTTTATTTTTTTTCTGAGACAAAGTCTTGCTCTGTCACCCAGGCTGGAGTGCAAAGGCACGATCTTGGCTCACTGCAACTTCTGCCTCCTGGGTTCAAGTGATTCTCCTGCCTCAGCCTCCCAACTAGCTGGGACTACAGGCGTGTGCCACCACACCCAGCTGATTTTTGTATTTTTAGTAGAGATGGGGTTTCACCATGTTGGCCAGGCCAGTCTCCAACTCTGATCTCAGGTGATCCGCCCATCTTAGCCTCCCAGAGTGCCAGGATTATAGGCGTGAGCCACCGCACCCAGCCAGTTTTATTTTTCATACTGCCCCAGTTAAATCTCCCTCCCTCTCCACCACTGCTGAGACCTGGTCTTGCTCTGTCACCCAGGCTGGTATTGCAGTGACATGATCACAGCTTACTGAAGCCTCAACCTCCCAGGCTCAAGCGATCTTCCCACCCCAGCCTCCTGAGTAGCTGGTACTACAGGCACATGTCATCACGCCTGGCTAATTTTTAAATTTTTTGTAGAGACAGGGTCTCCCTATGTTGTGCAGCCTGGTCTCAAACTCCTGGGCTTAAGCAGTTCTCCTGCTTTGGGATTACAGGTGTGAGCCATCTACCAGCCTGTATTTCTAAATAAGTATTATGTATGATTGTGTTACTTCTCCACCAGAAAATTTTCACTTGCTCTCATTTTCTGGAGTATGATTGTTCAACATAGCACTCAGGATCATCTGTGATTATGTGGAGGCTATGTTTTCAGCTATATCTGACCCCTGTTTTCACATATATGCTAATACTGGTGGTTATTGAACATTTATGATGTTTTACATCTTTCTACCTAGAATGCCCTTTACTTCCCTTCCATTATGAGCCTTGTGAGGGTATAGAACTTGTTTCACTCATATTTGAATATTTCATTGCCTAACTCAATAAGTGTTTATAAAATTGATTATTTTTGGACAGTAAACTTTTGCTATGAAGAGTCAGATAGTAAATATGGATTTGTGGGCTATATGGTTGCAGCTATACAACTAGGTGGTTGTATAAAAGCAGCCAGAGATAGTATGTAAATGAATGAAAAAAGTCATGTTCCAATAAAACTTTATTTCTGGACCATGAAATTTGAATTTCACATCATTTTCTTTTCTTTCTTTCTTTTTTTTTTTTTTTTTGAGATGGAGTTTCTCGCACTGTCACCCAGGCTGGGGTGCAATGGCACAATCTCGGCTCACTGCAATCTCCAAATTCTGGGTTCAAGCAATTTGCCTGCCTCAGCCTTCAAGTAGCTGGAATTACGGGCTCCCACCACCACACCTGGCTAATTTTTTGTATTTTCAGTAGAGACAGAGTTTGGCCAGGCAGGTCTTGAACTCCTGACCTCAGGTAATCCACCCTCCTTGGCTTTCCAAAGTTGGGATTATAGGCGTGAGCCACTGTGCCCGGCTTTTCTTTTTTGTGTGTGTGAGACAGGGTCTTACTCTGTCACCCAGACTGGAGTGCAGTGGTGATCTCAACTCACCACAAACTTTGCCTCCCAGGCTGAAGCAATTCTTCTGCCTCAGCTTCCCGAGTAGCTGGGATTATAGTTGTGCACCACTACTGCCTGGCTAATTTTTATATTTTTAATAGAGACAGGGTTTCATTGTATTGACCAGGCTGGTCTTGAACTCCTGATCTCAAATGATCCATCCATCTCAGCCTCCCAAAGTGCAGCCTGTTATAAAATACTCTTCGTCTTTGATTTTCTTTTTCCCAACAATTTGAAAATATAAAAACCATGCCTGGCTCACAGGCTGTACAAAAACAGGTAATGGACTACATGTATTTCATGGACTATAGTTTTCCAATCCTTGGCCTATCTGATGTCTAAACTTCTTTGGGCTGGGCATAGGGGCCAACATGGTGAAACCCCATCCCTACCAGAAATAAAAAAAAAATTAGCTGAGAATGGTGGTGGGTACCTGTCATTCCACTTACTTGGGAAGCTGAGGCAGAAGAATCAGTTGAACACAGGAGGCAGAGGTTGCAGTAAGCTGAGATCATGCCATTGTACTCTAGTCTGGGAGAAAAGAGCAAGACTCAGTCTCAAAGAAAAACAAAAGTTCTTTACTGTGCTAGCATTCTAGAAAACAAGATGATACAGAAAATTATGGATGAAGTCTAGGGATGCACAAAATAATACTTCTGAGATAATGTGCAACGTAACCTGCAGTATAACAGAGACTCATGGAATGAAGGGATAAAAAAGAAGGGGTAAGCTTTTTAGAAGAATAATTATATCTGGACACAAATATTCCTTTATCTGAAAGATAAGAATGTTAACATATACACTGTGAATGACTTGTAGCCAGTTGGGGGTCATTTAACAAATCAGATAAATGATTGCATGAAGGGAAAAAGTGATTTCAACTCCAGAAGCTCAGAGAGACTGGGCCTGAGTGATTTGGAAAGATGGAGGCGATTCTCCGACTATAGCCTTAGAATCCTCTGATAAACTATCAGTAATGCAAATCTGTTTTGTATGGCACCTTAGGAAATAATACAAAGTAGGTGTGTTGTTTGTTTGTTTCTCTCTCTCTTTTTTTTTTTTTTTTTTTTGGAGTCTAGCTCTGTCGCTCAGGCGGGAGTGCTGTGGCATGATCTCAGCTCACTGCAACCTCCACCTCTTGGGTTCAAGTGATTCTCCTGTGTCCTACTCCAGCCTCCTGAGTAGCTGGGACTATGGGCACATGCCAGTACGCCTGGCTAATTTTTTGTATTTTTAATAAAGATGGAGTTCACCATGTTAGCCAGGATGGTCTCCATCTCCTGACCTCATGATCCACCCAGTTTGGCCTCCCAAAGTGCTGGATTGCAGGCGTGAGCCACCGTGCCCAGCCTTTCTTACTTTTAAAAAATTTGAGCAAGTGGTTTGTGATAGTGAAGGTTCTCAAACAGGAATTACACATTGCTACTATTTTACTTTGTAGTTCATGTTCAGAGGCAGTATTGGACATAATATATTCTCGTATTTCAGACTATGGGCCCGCTATTCCTATGTACCGAAACTCTTTGTGACATACTGCTACTTTCCTTGTTCATTTACCAATAGGAGATGTTAAATATGTCTAAGAAAACAGCTTCTTGTTTTGTGAACTTCTCCAGATTACAGCAGATCACAGATATTCAAGCTGAAATCTACCAGGTAAATCATGTTGAACTTTTCACCTTCTGTGTCTAGTATAGGAAACCAAAAACAAAAACTGGCCAGGTCTAGAGGCTCACATCTGTAATCCTCACACATTTGGAGGCCAAGCTGTGATGATTGCTTGAGCCCAGGAATTTGATACCAGTGTGGGCAAAATAGGGAGATCTCATCTCGATAAAAATTTAAAAAGTAAGCAGACATGGTGGCACAAACCTGTAGTCTCAGCTATTTAGGAGGCTGAGGTGTGAGGATCATTTGAGCTGAGATGTTGAGGCTGCATCGAGCCATGTTTGCACCACTGCACTCCAGCCTGGGTGACAGAGACCCTATATTAGAAACAAAAAAACTTTATTAGTTCTAACAGCAATTCCTTTGAACTTAGAACAGTGTCTAGCACATAGCTAGGTAGCTACATGTTTACTTAATAATAGTAGTAACAGTAATAGTAGTAGTAGTAGCAGTAGCAGGGCAAGAACAGCAAAATAAAAAACTTCAATAAATCTCCTGGACTCTTTTCTTTTTTTC